GTGCTGATGAAGGGATGAGGCGATTTGACGATTACCTCCTAGTTCAAGCGAGATGAGAGTATAGCCATAATCAGCATCATCAGTTCCTGCATCACTTTACGCCTTTTTTGGATATAGACAAAAGGTCTTTTTGCATTATTATTAACGTGCAGCTCTTTGCATTCACTTCCGTTATTTCCTATCACGTGCAAGAGCTCAGTCCGTTTTTAGCTGAATCACTGGAATATGTCTTGTCGGCTGTGTCAACCTGTACCTCGTAGGAAAGCCATGCGGCTGCGGAACATCAGTCATTTGTCGTTCTCTTTTGGTGCGGTAGACCCACGAATGACTTGATCAGGCACACTTCTCCGTCCGTTTGTGGTAAAGTCTTTTTGCGTCTTCCTTTCATCCAACTTTGTATTTTGAAATGAAAATTTGCTTTACAATTACCTAAACATGGTTTCTTTGAAGCCAATTTTTATTCGAATATCCATCTCTTCTGCTTGTCGACTTTTCATTTCAAGACGCAGCTGAACCGAAGATATTCATAAAATGACTCCATTCCAGTTCTCACAAGCTAAATCATGAGATGCCTCATGAATGCTTTTTAGGAAAGCCATACTGCTGCGGAACATCAGCTGTCGTCTGGTGAGATCTACTTAGAAATCTCTTCAACAGATACGCTTTCATGCGAAATGATAGCCGTTATAACATTTCATTGGGCTACACTACTTATATTTACAGTGAGTAGGCTTCGAGACTATCCTTATGTCTTATTTAAATTTCCTTCCTTTTTGATGAGATTGGTTTTCGCGACAATCCTCAATTTCTGCCAAGTTGCCTTACTCAACCGAGGTCGCTTAACATGCCTCTGGCTATGATGCTGATGAGGGGATTAGGCGAGTTCTGGATTGCCGTCCAGTCCAGGCGCGAGGGGAACAACTTTTTGGCTACCAGATTGCTTTTAAATGACCTACTACTACTTATGCTAATGATCATAACGGCCTGCATCACGCTCAGTGATTTTGGCTGACTCAAAGTTTCATTCGAAATGTCGTCTTTTGCTCTTATCAGGTTGATCTTCTGGTTTGGATTCGAGCTCAGCAACCACTAGAATGGCCGCTCGACTGCTTGGGCCACTTCTTGGGCCACCTTCAACCGCCCAGGCTGAATAACGTCGTTAAACGTAGACGTGAAGACCAAAATATTGTGGCCCCTATCTCGATCGCAGTCTCCTTTCGCTGCATAGAAGTGGTCAGATCTTCTTATCACTACCTGAACGTGTTGTCAGGGCGACCTAGCTGGATACACCTTATCCTAAATCGTCTGCCGTATTATTTCTTATGATTGCCAGCGTTGGATCGCGGACTTGGTACATTCCAAGACGTTTTTCGGCATAGTAGTCGGTATCGTCAGTTAAGATCATATCTAAGCGGATCGGATAGGATCCGATCTGATGGGATATAATGGGGTTGGATTGGGTGGGATGGGTTTGCAAGAAATAGGATGGGATGGGATGGAATCGGATCGGATCGGATGAGCTGGGATGTAATGAGATTAGAAACTGCTTAAATCTGGTGCTATCAGATCGGATCTGCTCAGATCAGATCGGATCCAATTTGATGGGGTGGAATGAAAGGAGACACGAAGGGGTTTGAATTGGATTGGTTCAGATCGGATCGGATCAGATCAGATGAGATGAGATGGAATGTGATGTGATCGGGCGGGATCTGACGATGGGCAAATAGAACATGCTGGCAAAAATGAAGGCGGAGAGCTCTTGATTTTTTTGGCAGAAGCTAGACTAACTGCATTCCTCTCCTCCCTGTCCCGGAGGAATGCCTCGACGTTTGTGCACACCTGTCTGGCTTTTCTGCCAAACTTTGCGTCTATCCAAATGGACACTTGCCTGCACAACCACACGCACATGCACACACTGATGTACTACAGATGCACCAGCACGGATACACACAAACATCTGGGAGGACGAATGGATGGATGGACGGATGGAGATGCGCGCCAAAAGTCGAGCGTGTCCACAGGAAGGTATGTGGAGAGGTTTGGAGGCCGGGTGGTCCGGTACAGAAGAGGATGCATTCCATCCCGTCTTTTGACTGGCAGAATGGTCATCCTCTGAGCCTTGACAGCAACAAATACGATCGATCTGGTGCCTTGACGATTCGGACACAATCTCTCCCGTTCAGTGGATGAGGGAGAGATAGACACGACGCAAGAGAGAGAGAGAGGCTGAGAGCAGAGGGCGGAGGCGGAGACGACCGTCCTCCACGAGCCGTTTGCACAAACTGGGAGGGCGGACGGCCGGCCGGCCGGAAGAGGTGAGGGGATT